GGCGCGGGGAGAGGAGGGGCGGTGCACGGGGTGGGGCGAGGGGCGGACGCGGGGCGAGGTTTGCGCAGGGGTTGGGCAATCAGATGGCGAGGACTCGTTAGAGGGCGTGTGCGAGGTTGTTGTGTATTGTACTATGCTCCCGTCATCGTGTCCGTGTACTCCATGCGCTCTGTCATATGTAGCGATACGTGTTTATGTGTTTGTGTCTCAAAATGTCCATGTTCTTGTCTCCTCGATCGAGTAAAGCTGTATGAGTGAAAGTCTCGGATACGCTTAGGCCGTATTCAGCTTAACATGTCACTGTGTGGGCTTGTCGGCGCGCCGCTATCTTTCTCGCGTCGCGGCCCACGCGCGCGTCTGATGTGTGTCTCGCGCCTTGCTTTCGACTGCCACCCTCGCACGGGATGGCAGCAATCGAGGATCGTGGCCTCGACGCTCGCAAGGATATGGACAGACCAGATGAGTCTACCGTGCTTGGCGATCTCTATCGTACTGCTCGCTGATTTGCGCTTGGTAGAGGAGGATCGGATCGAGCTGATCAATCGGAGACCTGCCACCGACAGCGGGTCGCGGAGGGGCTTCAGAGCACGCACAAAGCCCATTGCTGTCGCTGCCTAACGAGCTCCTCTTGGACATCGCCCTACGTTTAAGAGACACGATGTTTCTCGAGTGCACTGTGGAGCCTTTCGGGTGCCCGTGGAACGTGTCCTCGATGTTATGTGCAAGTCTACTGCATCATTGCCTATAGACGATGCAGTTGGACGCACTGAGCCAAGCAAGAAGTCGGCGTCAGAAGGCTTAGGTATTTGCCAGAATGTAGCTCGAATGTATGTACATGCGTAAAGAGGGCCTGTTCGCCATGTATCAAGCCTCCTGCGGCATTATAGGCGATTCGTACGTAGGGTAATCGATAAATGTCACTTTCAGCAACCGCCGAAGCGTATGCCAAACGGCCCAATCCTCAGCCTCCCTTGATATGATTAGTTCTCGTAGAGGAGAGCCACGGTCTCGTCGAGCGTGAATGAGTTCGATGAGCTCGAAGACCGTGTTGGCGTATGTGGATTCGTCATTGGTGAATGGCAGCGCCAGGACCTCCAGCTGAGGGAAGAAAATGCCGGACGGGGTTCCATCGCCGAAGGAACACGATGTCCTGAGCGTATTGAAGAGTTCCGTGTGCGTACAGTCGAACATCCGGGCTCCGAGTCGCACTATGCCGATCTGGCGGACGTTGGCTGCGCGAAGGAAGGTTGCCCAGAGTTTATCGCGGGATAGCTCTTGTATTGAGGTTCCATCAAAAGATACAGTGCGTAGGTCGCGCATAGTGAGGAAAGACATGTAGTTGGCGAGCGAAAAGGTTTGCATGTCGAGGGTAGCTGGGATCTGTGGGGCATTTGGCCAAGGAGACTGATGAAGTGGTGGGGATGGTGGGGCAATCACCGCCGACATCAGTTTGAGGTGGCCATGTCTCAGCTGTAGATCTTGGGCCTCCGTGGTGTCGCGATGCTCCGACGAGAGAAGGGAGAGTAAGCGGGCCATGGCATCGTTGGCCTGTGCTGCATCGTACGGAGACGAAGGAAGGCTGTAATCGCAAGCACACAGAGGAGGTGGGTGCATGAGCGATATGAGAGTCAATGCGTCCATGGCGAATCTTGAGCAGGTCACATGGACTGTAATTCGCCGCATAGATGAAGGTAGGGAGATTGGGTGGGGTTGACTGTTGTCCGGATCTGTGAGGGGTACTAGGTTGGTTATGTTAAGGTCCACAAGTGATTGCAGCAGGGAGAGTAATGCGCGAAAGCCCTCGTAGTATGGACGTGGTGTGTCGTCGTCAAAGAATAGAAGGGTGAGCTTGGTCAACTTTGAAGACATAAGAGGACATTGCCATGGGACCCAGAACCCCCACAACGTCAGTTCTGTGACCCCGGATAGTTCATGGAAGGCTGCAGGTAGGTCGGGCAGGCCGTCGGTGAGAGTAAGCATCACAGTAAGTGCCTGCAGCTGTTCCATTTCTTCGCTGGGAGGTAGACGCTCTGCCACATGGTTGACAAGCTCTTCGTCTGCCGCAACCATCAAACACCTGGTGCGGCGAAGTACGGCAGGTGTAAGCCAGGCGTTTAAGCCAGCGTAGGCTCGAATCAGAGTGGAATCTTCATCATAGTCCATTTCCAGTTTGAGACTTGCCGAGCGCGATCGGACGAGTATATCCGGGATGCACTGGTGAGGGACACTGAGGATATCGATAGATGGCTTGGACCACAGAGAGGGAACACTGAGCGCAACCTGTGTACGGGTATCAGAAGAGATTGAGCGGCTCAGGAAGCCGCGCATGACTTACCTCTCTCCAGTGACTACAAACGTGTGTGATACACATCCAGCCGGAGCGAAACTCGAATTTCACCTCACTGTTGCCGCCGGGTTCAATAAAGTTACGGCGCGGCCGCCAGAGAGGTTGAAGGTACTCGAAAACGGTCGCAAGGATTTCTGGCGGAAGACTACAAGTCACTGAACACATATTGCGTGTCCGACGCGCACGATAGAGTGACTGTTGTAAGTTCTCGAGCTCTGAATCCATGTCTTGTAAGCGGGACACGCGAGAGCCGCCACGCAGAGCGCTCTCGGAAAAGCGAGAGTCGACCAGCCCTGACAAGGAGCTGACGACAGTAATGCGTTAGGTACATGAACCACCATCGAGCCATCGAAGAACGTTACCTCGGCGTCTTGCTAACCATGGCGACGGTGGCCGTTCAGAGCAAGTTGAGAAGATGGCTGTCCACTGTCACGGCGCCTTTCTGTTTCTTGCTCTTGACCATCGTCATGCATGCATGATGACTACGCCTGTCCTTTATATTTATCTTCAACGCGTCTTCAGCTTGGCGCCCGCACGAACAACATGGTCGCGCTGATGGCCATCAACATGAAGGCGCTCGCTGTGAGGACAGGAAAGTCGGCGAAAGGCGCAACACACGCCGGAAGCGCGCGGAGGGGATGCGGATGCGGAGAATCGGTGAGAGGGTGTCAGGAGGACGAGCACGAAGAGCTGGATAGGAGCAATCAATACCTGGTACACGTCGGTTGCTATGTTGTATGTATTGTCCTTTGCCCTCCGATGTGTATCCGTGTGCTGTCTGGAAAGGCGCCGCGCGCTCCGTCAAGGACGTTGCGCTATAGATCATCAGCACTGTTGAGGATCATTCACCGACATACCGGACTTTTGAACTTGTGGAGCGTCTACAAGTTTGGAACATGACCTGTCCGTCCTATATCGAGTACAACTGCCGTCTCCGATGGGACGAATGGTTTCAGGCTCTAATGCCCGGCCCGTCCTATGAGAGAGCATCGAACGGCTACGACTTCGAGTGGACAACGCAGAGCACGCTCTCCCTGAGAACGAAAGATACGAACTCGAAGCATGGAGTTTGTTTCTACACGTACACGAACTCGGTGTCCGCCTCAGCGCTACCTCAAGAAACCATCTCTCAAGCGGGAACTTTCTATCTGTACCAATGGCTTTGCTGCCGCTCAGACATTGACGAACTGCTGCATGGGCTGATCGTTCTGACGGAGATGGCAGGCTTGTTGGATCTTGAAAGTGCGCAACGGTCTCAGTCTTCCGATGAGTACACTCAGGAGGGGAGAATCACAATCGGGTGCGCACTCGAACGTGCTGACACGGAGACAGGCTGCTTCCGAAGTTGTGACCTTTGCCAGGTATCTTGCCACCTGTCCCGTTGAGCACTGTGATACGGTTTATTCATCATCATGATAGCGTATGTTGTATTATAGTATAGTGTAGTATAGTTTACAGTAATATCCTGTGAGTGTTACGAGTCCATAGGGTTGAATGGTGCTGAATGCCTGGGGTAATCAATGAACGAAATCTTGAGAGCCGGACGCAAGGTGGTCCACACGGACCATTCTGAGGCGCCCAGCGGTATGACCAGCTCATGCATCGGCACTCCCAGTTCCTGCCTGGCATGTACAAGATTGACAATGCCGGCTTTCATGTCATGGCATTTGGCTTCCTCCTCGAATAGAGGGAGAGCCAAGACCTCCAGATGCGGGAATAGAACACGGGGACCGTCTCCTTCGTCGCGATTGTGGCGCCTCAGGAGGATTGCCAGTAAGAGGACAAGGTACTTATATGTTTGCGGCTCAGAGGGTTCGGCCACTTCCACACGGCAAACACCTTCTGCACGGAGTAAGGTCGGCCATCCTTGGCTTCTGCAGAGATCACGAAGGGTGACTACGTCCAGCGAAAGGGTGTGTAGCTGTTCGAGGGGGATGAGTGACAGGTAGCTGCTTAAGCAGAACGGGTCCGGCGCTTCAGAACTAGGAATCTCGAGGTACCCTTCGGTGTAACGCGCATCGTGTGGAGAAGATGGCGGGAGCTGTGCGGCAGAGCCTTGCGGTTCGGCCTCGAACCCTACGATCCACATGCTGGAAGGTCCTAGATCGAGGTATCGGGCGTCAATAGCATGGCATCCAGTGAAGGATAGGCGAGGAATAAGCCGCTCGAGGGCAGTGTCGACCAGAGCCACGTTAAGTGGAGGAGGCGATTCGTCGAGGGAAGGAAGGACAAACTGCCGAGGGCATTGGCGCGGAGCGATGACCTGTGAGATGAATATCAAGCCGTCCATTGCCGTCTCCTCGTTGTTCACGAATATTTGAAGATCACGAAGAGATGCGGAAAGGACGATCGGGATAGATTGGTCCGGCGTAGGGCCTGCGATAGGTACGACGTCCGCTAAATGGAGTGTTTGGAGAGACTCGAGGAGGGCCGCGAGCGCCGCCATCTCGCCATATGACGGGCGGAATCCTCCGCTTCTTTGCGATAGATGGAGATGTGTGACATGTCGAGAGAAGATAGGCGACTGCCATGATATTTGGCAATTGCATAGGTGCAACCTTTTCACACCTGACAGGGTTTGAAAGGGGATTGGCAGATCGGGGTTTCCATTCGCAAAGAGAGTTGACACGCGGAGGTCGCGCAGTTGATCCGTTTCATGAACGAGGTAAAGACGTGTGGCTATAAGCGAAATAACGTCCTCTCCTGCAGTGATGTCCAACCGTCTGGCACGCCGCAGAACGGAGGGGGAGAGCCAGGCATTCGCTCCGATGTCGTTCAGCACAGTGTCTGAGCCTCCGGTATAATCCAGCTCCAAATCGAGTGGATTTAAACGAGCTCGAAAGAGGATATCTGGAATATATTGATGGGGTATGTCGAAGGTATTGAGCGTCGGCTTGGACCATAATGACGGAACGCCGATGAGTATCTAGCTATAATCAGCTTCGAATAGCTCGCGCGCTACGGAAAACTTGAGACACACCTCTCTCCACTTGCTACAGACATGAGCGAGTGACATCCAACCGGCGTCGAAGGTATCCCTCTCCTCGCTGGGTCTACGCAGTGGCGGCCACTCTGTTTGAACATACTCGAAGACAGACACGAGGACTTCAGCTGGAAGTTTGCAGGGTCCAGTCTTGAGATTGCGCAATTGACGGGCGTGATATAAGGCCTTCTCGATGTTGCTGAGTTCCGAGTCCAAGGCCTGCAGGCGGAGGCCGGATGGCACACATGCTAGCGCACTCTCGGAGAGACGCGAGTCCGCCAGAGACAACCAGGGGCAGCTGAGGTTTAATTTAATTAGCATATACAATGACTGGAAACGCTGAGACGTAGGCGTGCACATTGATCTCTTTTCGGTCATGATGGTGGGCGAAGTCAGGAAGCAAGTCGCTTACGGTTGCCGGCTAGTCCGAGGCCCAACTCGCGCGTCGCGTCTCGCGCACGACGCGCGCCGCGGCAGTTATCGGTCCGCCAAGGACTTACCGTATCCCTGCTCTTCGCTCCAGCAGCGTACACGGCTGCTCGAGCTGCCTCCCGGCATAGCCATAGGCCTCCAACAGCCTTCTCCGGGCGAGATGACACCCGGTAAAGTGGCAGGAAATAGTTTCGCGATTTTCCGAACCTTTCCCACGCCTCAACAGCGGGTTGTCGGCTGTTGTCGGCTCTGTTGGTTCTTGATCCTTACGGTGCTCGTCCCACCATGCATCTCGGTGGCCTAGTGAGGCTCTAGACGTTGGAATTATAGTGGCGTAGAGTAGGGATCGGAGAGAATTTGAATACATATAAATAACACCCGAAGCACCATAATTATATTCTTGAAGATATGCTGAATCGCTAGGATGGCACCACCGAAGGGCTCACTCTCTGCTAACTTTTGCACATAGATGATGACTGTATACGCGCCTTAGTACGGTTTGCTGGGCTAAGACGTCGGACTCCTCAATGGCTGAGCAGTATATTCAAGGATAGGGTTGAAGCAAGGTCCAAGATTCATCTATTGGGTCTATTTACGGTACTGTATGACCGATGTCACTAAGACTATTCCATTGCAATAAAAGCTCCTGCGGATTGTATGTGTCCCATTGAGCGTCCGTAGCGTATATAGTGTTCCATGTCCTTCAGAGCTCGCGCCTCGCGGCCGAGGCGTGGGAAAGGTTCGGAAAATCGCGAAACTATTTCCTGCCACTTTACCGGGTGTCATCTCGCCCGGAGAAGGCTGTTGGAGGCCTATGGCTATGCCGGGAGGCAGCTCGAGCAGCCGTGTACGCTGCTGGAGCGAAGAGCAGGGATACGGTAAGTCCTTGGCGGACCGATAACTGCCGCGGCGCGCGTCGTGCGCGAGACGCGACGCGCGAGTTGGGCCTCGGACTAGCCGGCAACCGTAGTCGCTTGCAATCCAGTTCTCGCGCGTGAGTAGGCGTGAGTGCACTCAGCCATCAACGTTTCAACCTCCACCATGGCCAATGGACACTTCCACCGTTGGGATACTCTCTCCATCATTCTGGCGCTTCTTCGACTCTCTCAAGCAAAGGTTGTTTTTCACTATGTCATCAATGAAAACCGCATGATTACGCCCACTGTGTGTGGAAACGCCCCCGTCTATGAGTAGGATGGCGAGGCAGCGCTGATGTCGGGATTGAGATTGTCTGTATCTCGCCGCTGCTTCTCATTCACGTCTCTGCGTCCGAGTACTGACAGCATAACCCTGAGGTACCGTAGAGAGGTCGGGCGTCCAATGAGCGCTTCAAGTATTGATCTCGGCATTGTGCGTCGACGTACACGATGAGTCCTACACGCTTTGGGCGCCTTTTTGGATCATCACGAGTTGCTCTTGACCACCACAACCGCTCGTAAGATGGTCCCGACTGGCGATCATGCTGCCGACACGCACTCGACGGAAAAAGCTCACGTCGATGCTGGGTGAGCGCTGCTAACAGTATTCAGCACCGATGTTCTGTGTCCGTTGACGCGCAGCTACCTAGCAACTCGAACCCACAGGTGCAACTCGGTAATACGAGGCTGATGCCGACGGACCGTGGCGATACTCGAAGCGCATCTCAGGGACGGTTGGAAGATATTGAACAACTTGGACGCCGTTTACAACGTGCCGTTGGGCTTGACGACGCGCACAGTAGCCCCCTGCTGTCATTGCCCGACGAGCTTATCGTGAAGATCATCCGTCGCGTGAGAGAATCGAACGTGATCATCGAGAGAAGCACGCAGAGTCGTCTCTCCCGGCCCGTCCCTTGGAACGTCACCGTCACGGTTTGCCGTCGACTCAGGCAGATCGTCGCTGGATCCCCTTCGCTTCACACACATCTGTCCAACGTATTGCATTCGACGTATTACCTTGATCTATCCATCGTTCGGTCCGACCCTCTTCCTTTGAACCTCTACATATCGGAACCCTCTCAGTACGGAATGGATGAAATGCGGCAATGGACGAATGGCGTTCTGAAAGTACACGGTCATCGCATCGAGTCAATCACCTTTCAGACCTCCCGCAGCAATCTCTCCGGAGTGCCCGACTGGCTGAACCATACACCTTGTTTAAGGTCGCTCTCCTTGCACTACGATGTCGACCACAATAGCTCTGGAACGATCAATGCCACGGCTGAATCGATTCTATCCGCCATCTTCGCGGCGCTCACGACCAGCACCAAGCCCAAGGTAGAGCATGTGGCTTCGCTGTGTATCAACGGGCCACTGCCTCCATACGGCGTCAGCGCCGGGGTTGTGTATCACAACCTCACGGACCTCTCCTTGAGGAACGTCATTTTCAGTTTCATCAGTGACCCTGGCCTCTCGATCATCTTATCTCTCACGACGAGGCTTGAGCGCCTTACCTTGCACAATGTGTGCCCCGTTGACATATCCATGAACCCATCCTTCATGCTTGTGAGCCCGCATCCTCCATTGGCACTTCCGAGTACACTCCGTGTGCTCGACTACTCTGGCTCAAAACACCCGGAATTCGTCTTACTCGAAGCATTCATTCCGAACACATCTACGCGCCTCATCATCACCTGCACCGACGAGATGAGGAGATCTGTTGTTCGAATCAGGCGCGTTCTGGAGCTTTGGATGGGTCCAGGCCGTCTTACTAAGGCGGCCACGCTACATATCACCAACAACGGGGTAAATAACCACGTTTCGTATGCACAGGTGAAACTGTCCCTATGGAGCGCCTGCGACGAGGATATGACTTGTCCGCCGGACATCGAATACAACTTTGACCGCATGGAAATCGGGGGCAACTCGTTGATGTTCTTGCCGGACATGATGAACGGCCCTTCTTATGAAGGTTTGCAGAGGTTACATGCCAAAGTGGACGATACCACGTATTCTCTCCTCCAGAGCTGGAGAGTCGGACATCATCTGCAGACTCCACATCTGCGCGACCTCAGCCTCCTTCCCAACCTGGCTTCGGAGCCGCATTTCTCACTCGATGTCTGGTTTTTTCGCAGATGGCTTCACTCCCGTTATGCCACAGGCAATCTGCTTCATACGCTGACCATCTCTTCTGAGATGGCTGACGCACTGGACGGGTTGGGAGAATCGCGACCTCAACCCTCCTGCTCGGCTCCGGTCATAATGAGAAGAGAGGACTTTGACGAGCCGCCACCCGAAACGCTTGGAGAATCGCCGTCGTGGAGGGATACCGTTTCTGAAGTAGTCGTGGTCAACTTGGGACCGTGAATAGACTTGCTGTTCGTTGGGATCGGTATATCTTGTATTGCGAGATGGCGAAGCAGATAGCGGTCGAAATACAATATCAATTAGTAGCGTTCAATCTAGAACCGCAACGCGTTGCCAACGCGTTGCGGGCCGTGGGGAAGTTGCCGGACTTCGCCGTCGGACGGCAGAGGTGACCGGCGCGTGACATAACGGCTTCGAGCCTGGCGTCTGAACCGTACATCGTACGCGTCCTCCGCGTAGCCACGCGCCCGGAGCTCACTCGTGCCTATGAGGACAGTACAAGAGACTTCGGCGACAGCGCGTTGAGGAGATCGGGAGGTCTAAGCGTCACCCGGGGCGCTCGGACCCCTTCTTCCAGCCCTTAAATCATAACGAATCGATTTGGCACCACCTGCCACCGCGCGCGCTCGCCCGCAATCGCTGGCGCTAGCAGGTACCATTGCAATGGTCTAACAGCCTTCGCATGAGGTTCTCGGTTCAGAAAAGAGGCCAATACGGTCAGGGCTTTATCCGTGACATTATGTCAGCCGCGCTGCCATCACGGCGGACTCCGGCAACTTCCCCACGACCCGCAACGCGTTGGCAACGCGTTGCGGTTCTAGATTGAACGCGACTATTGAATGTACAAATACACGTCCCTTCAGTCATGATGGTCATCAAAAAGTGTCATAGCGAAAGGAAATGTGTAAGTACGTCTAGTCACAGCAAGATAATTCGACCCTCTTCGAGCAATGCGCACACCCATCAAAACCGGCTCGCCAACGTACGACCCCACCAGCTTCTTCTCGGTGTCCTTGAGTCGCCACGAGCAGGCAGATCAATCCGGAACGCAAAGTTATCGCGCTTATAGTAAGGGTCCGCATACTCGTCCCCTCCCATTCCCGGGAGCCGAGGCGAGCCAAGCTTCTCAGCGTCGAACCCGGTCTTGCTTGCCGGCGGCGACGGGAAGTGGCTGAGTGCTGAGTCGGGGTACCCTGGAAGAAGTGCGGTTGCCGGAGAGGAGATGGGTACACGCATGGGGTCGAAGCCGAGTTTGCGATCGCCGAACGCGGGCGAGGACGGCGGAGGGTTGAAGTTGAGCCGCGTCTTGGAAGTGAACGCAGGATAGGGGCTATTGAGCTTGCTCACGCGCGACGGGTCCATCTCGGCCATGGTGAGGTTGAAGTTGGGCCTGCTGGCAGAGGCGGAGGACGCATCAAAGGCAAACGGCGAGGTCGCGGCGCCTGTACTCGGGATCCGCGCGGCGTGCCAATGCGCGAGCGCTTCGTACGCCCTCTCCTCACGCATTACGCGTTGAAGCACGTAAAGCGCATGCGCGAGCCACAGCTGAATCGCTAATGCGAGGGCGAAGGCGACTGTGAGCGCTACGCGCAGGTTGAACAAGCCCGAGGCGCAGGCGGGTTGATCTTCCAGGCTGACGGCATCGCAGTTCGATGATGACTTCTCCCACAGTTCGTACAGCTCGAACGCGCCGATTGCAAGACTTGCAACGGTTTTGGCCAGCACGAGAGCTAGGAAGGCTACGACGAATTTGCGCGCCCTGACGATGATGCTCAGGAGTCTGTTTGCGATGCATCATCACATCAGCCGCAGTCTTTACGTTTCGATGGCGTGGAAAGACACGTACCCAATTCCACAAACAAAGAACGCAGCAGAATACAGCCCCGCGACGATGTACAGCAGGATACGTTGCTTAGTCGTCAACACAACGTGGAGACTGTCGATATCGAGTGCGTTTGGGTCGATGTCGCTGAGGTCTGCTGTAGGACGAGGACGCGGTACCAGTCGTCAGCATCTGATTGAATGAGGTTGGAGCAGATATCAGTGAACGTTGATGCTCACTGATGAATTGCGAGAGTATGAACCAGCAGTACGCGGCGATCGAGCCGGTGAGGATGAACCAGCCCGTTCCCAGTGTCAGAGCACAAAGGCGGGAAGGGAAACAACATGTGCGGCCACGCATATCTCAACACCAAGATCGTACAGACGTGAAGAAGAAGAAAGAGTAAAGAGAAGACGAAGTGAATAAAGTAGAAGAAAAAACGAGAAGTAGAGAAGAAAAAAGAAAGCGCGAGCCCAAAACGGGAGAAGAGATCGAGAAGAAACTGAGACAGGCGCGGGTCCGCACCGCGTCTTATAACAAGAGACACGCTGTCAACATAGAGTGCGTGTGCGCAGAGATGGGTACGACATCTGCCCGAGCGCGGTGATGCCGCGATCCGGGGGTGACACAGCGTGTTGACGCTGCGTAAAAGCCAAGGATCTGAAAACTCGGCCAAAAGGCGATCTACGTAGCAGAACATGGTAGGCGCGCAAGAGGCCTTCTCAGGTGGAGTAGAGGCGCAGATGCGTAGTTGGGAGATTGTATCCCGACCGGAGGACGCCTGCGACTTGGCGGCAGGAGAAGGCATCGGCGGGGGCGGCGATGCTGACTTGAAAGTTGACACAGAGCGCTTCTCGGCGGGAAGTACATCTTCCGCTGTGGATGCATCCGCGCTCGAGGTTGGTAAACCGCCTTGATGTAGCAGGATATTGGTGGCTTTGATGTATATCAACCGTCACCGACAAAGAATGTCGGAGGGGGACGACGGTGTAGGACGGTGTGAGACTGGGAGGCGACAGTCGGCGATTGTGTCGACGTCGTGCACTGCCACGTGCACTTTGTTTCCCACAACCCTACAAGTCCATCATCTCCGAGGCTCTAGGCCCTCACAACGAACTAATGTGCGCCCATCTTGCTGTGACCAGTACATAAGCCACAGACCTACAAAGTTCCACTGACACGTCTGCGTTGAGGATCGTCGGGGCCGTGGGCGGTGGTAACGGGAATGGCCGATACTGTGGTCGGATCATTATCTGCTTCCTTCGTGCTTCCAAGTTCTCTGCAGTCCCTGCGCAGGTATCTCTTGAAGGACGCCAAGCGACAGAGCTGTCTTCTTCTTCCCTTCAATGTGTGAGGACATACAGTGAGTACTCGGCCTCCCTCGGTCGAGTTATCCTCCCGAATGGCACGTAATACCCACCGACACTGTCTTCAGAGATCCCTGGGAACGACTCGCCCGTTCTAGGTGGAAGGAGCGCAGCTCAGGAGAACCCGTAGCGGAATACCGCAACCGCATGCTCGACGATTTGCAGCAGCTACAACGGCTTGCTCAACGTGCCAGAGCACTCCATAACGCCCACGCCCCTATCCTTTCCCTCCCCGACGAACTTCTGACGGAGATCTTGCTATACTTGCGCGATGCCACCCCCAGCGAAGACGTATACCCTGATGCTGACCAGCCGATGCACGTTTGGCACAAGTCTGTCGTAGTTTGTCGCCGGCTGAGACAGGTTTTCATGAACGCTGCCGCTCTGCACACTCGGCTTTCAACCTCCACACGTTCTCCGCAAAGCATGAAGCAAGCGTTCGCTCTGTCCGGAGGACTTCCTATCAGTCTACACATCCAGGATCTATCCAAGCATTCGACACTACTGTACGATTCCGAACGGTCCGGCGGTAATGTGTAACGCCGGGGTCAGGTTCGGCAGGTGTAACGGTAACACTCCTCGAGTGCCGAACCCTCTCAGAAAGCGTATTTCTCACGCTTAAATAGCTCCAAAAATGGTAAAAATATTATAGAGGCTATAGTACGATCGTTCGGAGCTATCTGGTGTCATTTAATATGCTATACTAGTGTAGAGTACGAGTCAGACCAGCAATCGACCGAGAATCCCTGAGGAAGCTTTCATTTCCTCCACGAAAATTGCTCCATAGCATAGAAACCCGCCTGCTTCTGTGTTCCCATACGGACAGGGCGTGTGTGGGTGCTAGTGGATGTCGATGCCTCAGAAGAGGGAAATGCTCCGGCCGAAGCAGAGGCTTCTTCACCATCCTCGTCATCAAGACTTTCGGAGAGCGTGTTACAGCTCAGCGACCCGTCCTCGTTAGACTGCACACCATTGATGGGCTCAGAAGAGCCCGAGATAGCCTTTACCACAGCAGAGATCGGGATGTCGCTGTCGTCCTCGAACTCGCTGTCTACCTCTTCATCCTCGGTGTAAGTCTTCGAGTCCGAGGGGGTCTCGTTTGCTGACGTGGTGCCGGTGAGCTCGGAGTAGAGAGCGGGGTCGCTGCTCCTGAGGGAAAGCAACTCGCTGCGGGTTACACGGCTCGTCAGCGAGTCGTAGGACAAATCGGCGTCCTTGACACGGCACATGGACCAAGCCTACAGCAACACGTCATGAGCACGAGTGGCGATGTTGACAGGTGCTCTTCGTACCTTCTTGACGATCTCTCTGGAAAACCACCCCCCTGCTCAAATGGTCTCGGTGAGCCTCGGCGAGACTCACTGAAAAACGGTTTAGTGCCGAGACGATTTGAGGCGCGAAAAAGAGAGGTTGGCTCTTTTTCCGCATTTCACCGAGGATTCAACGAGAACTCAACGAGAGCTCAACGAGAGCTCACCGAGGCTCAACGAGTGCTCAACAAGTGCTCAACGAGTGCTCAACGAGTGCTCGATGAGTCTCAGGGAGTACTCGTAGTGCTCTCACCTAATGCAGATAAATGCCCTTGCACACACTGCGAAGCTCACAATACATTTATATGAAAAAATAATTTATCAAGTCAATATATAATAAATACATGGACCATAACGATTTCTAGCTATACGACGAGTCCCCCCACATCACGTCTGCCACAGGCCAAACACCAGCAAATGACAACTCTAGTTAAGCTGTGAGCAAACTGGTAGGGATGGGTAGGCCAAACGAGCCACTTACCGAATACGGGGTCTCCTGAGTGAGCAATACACAAGACCCTATGCAAAACCTCGCGAACATCAGTAGAAGACATCGAAATAATTTGGGCGTGCAGCTTACCATCAAAAGCTGCAGGCATACATGACGATTATCTGTCAAGACAAGGTCAGCGAACATAACAAGCATGACGAGGATGTGCAAAAGCGCACCTTGCAAGGGAGTGCCTCAAGCACGTACCGGATGGGAGTCATCCGAGCGCAACGCTCTGGCGCGAACACAGTCTACGCCAGCTCGCAATGAGACAAGGCTGCAAGCACGGTAAGTACGATCAGAAGTGGCGAGAAATTGCGACGCACCTAAGGCCGAACACGCGTTCGGCCGCCACGTCACGAGCACGGCGCGGAAAAGCCGAGTTGGCTCGCGTATATCCGGCGCGGGCAGGCGCCTGCGGCCGAGGCGCCTGCTTCACGCAGGAAGAAGGAAGGCGGCGAGGGATAAGAAGCCGCGCTCTTGCTGGCCCGCGACAGCAAGGTTGAAGTCCGCCGATGCGGAGAGCTTGCCCCGAGCGCGTATGCCCGAGGGTAGCCTTCTCCGCATCAGCGGGGTCGCCAGCGTGCGGCAGGAGCCGGGGGCGCGAGGGCGCGGCGGGGCCACGGCGAGGGGGGACGGGCGGGCGAAGGAGGGAGGGGAGATGGTGGCGGTTGAAGTTGAACTCGGGACGAGTCGGAGCGGCCGGATGACGCGTCGCGCACGTGACGATTTCGGGCCGTCTCGCGACTCGCGCGTGCAAGTCGTTCGTTTCCTGCCTTCACTTCGCCCTCGCCTCGCCCTCGCCCTCGCCCTTGCCCTCCTCCCTCGCCCTCGCCTTCTCCGCCTCCTCTCTCGCCCTTCGTCTCCCCCGCCACCCGCCCTCGTTGTGCACCGGCCACGCGCGCCACCGGACCCGTCGGTGGGGAGGAAGCGACCTCTGGGCATACGCGTCCAGGGCGAGCCCCTCCTCGCCGGCGAACTACGACTTAGCGCGCGCCCCCACCTCTGCGTGCCCGTCGTTCTCGCGGGTCATTCGGTACGAGGTGGCGCCCCGCCCCCGACGGCAGCAATCTCGCCGCTTTCGGCCGAGGTGGGATCCACGCCCGGCTCCCGCTGCCGAGCCTCACCTCTGGAGCCCCGGGTTCGGCTTCCGTCGAGCCCGCATCCATCGCGGCACCGCGTGCGCCCGCACGCATCACCGCTGGTCGTCCCGTACGAAATAGCGCCCGCTCCCGACGGCCGCATCCTCACCGCCTTCGGCCGAGGCGGGATCCGCGCCGGCTCCCGCCGCCGAGTCTCCTCGCCGCCCAGAGGTCGGGCCTCCCGACATCGGCGTCCTCCGGCCCTGGAGCCCCGCCCGCGTTCGTCGCCGCGTCGCGCGCGCCCACGCGCATCGCCCTGGGCTACCCTGTCGAAGTCGCTAGCGGCGAACTAGATGTTCGACGGTATCCGCGCCGGTGCAATCACCGGTTACGCGCTCGGCCTGGGTTTTACCCGCCCCGCTCGCTTCATGGCGTGTCGGCCCTGTGCACTGCGTTGGTGCCACGGCCCTCCTCGGCACTCCCGATTCGGAAGTGCATGGCAGGGGTGCGTCGTGCCGCACCCGCCAAGCCAACGGTCGCCCGTATCGTTCATGGTGCTGCCCTCTGCGCTGGGCGAGTCCAGGCCCGTACCCTCGCTCGTCATCCCTTTCTCGGAAGAGTGACGATGTCCGAGGCTTGCCGCGAAGTCGGTGTTCGTCGCATCTGCTCACGTATTAGGCTATCCTGTTGTATATAGTTCCCAGCATCATTTTTCTGATTTCATATATCTAGCTATACCTGTTCTGGCTACTAGTAGTGTACAGTGTAATCTAATAGTACTATATACCACAATGAATATCATCTATTTGCTTCAAATGAAAAGGCTCGAATTAACTCCAGACAAAATGGCCACAAAAAATTCAGCCAGTGATCTGTGAATATATATATATATATCACATACGACATCTGAGCCAATCTGAGACATGGCTGAATGGCGAATAAATCGCCGTTTAGGCTTTAGAGCTCGCTGAGGCCGGTTGAGGGCTTTCGAGGCCGTGCCGCGGCTGAAAATCCGCCGAGGCGAAATGAATGGGGGGGTGGTTTCCTGATGCTCGGGCTTATTCAGTCCCTCGTATGCGCTAACGAGCCAGGCCACAGTGCGATTTCTCATCGCGGCGATAGCAGTCGCGAGTTTGACAGGTTCGCCGTTGTCCATCTGGCGCAACGATTCCGCGACCACCTGCTCATGGAAGACACACTTCCAAATGTGCTTCAGAAGGCGTTGGATCCCGACATCGCACGGTTGAAACACTCCTGTGCAGCCACCCGGGACATAGAGAACAATGATCTCGGGATGATGCTCCTGCATCCAATCGCGGAACTCCTTCGAGCGATGTACAGACCACACGTCGATCAGCCAGATCAACTTCTGGTCGGTGGGAAGAGCTTGTTCCTGGATGACGCGCTCGCGATACGGTGCGATCTGCTCATCAACGAGTCTGTGCATCGTCTCGTGTGTTGACCAGTAAGTCGAAGTCTTGGAGGGTACGAACTTAATGCCAATCTTCTCGGCTTCAGCAAAGCATGGACTTGTCGGTTTTGGAAGCCTGTCGTAGTGTTAGCCAGGGAAAGCATGGGAAAAGCTGACAGACGTACACAACATTCTCCTGCGACCCTGCATAGACAGCCTGGAAGGGCAAAAGTTCGCCGCTGCTTGCCACGGTAACAACAGCCGTGAATGCACGCTTCTCCTCGGTACCGACAACAGCCACCTGACGTGTACCGGTTGGTGCCCATGTCAATTTGGTACCTTGTGTGAAAACGCCCTGAGTCTGATCTGTGTTGAGAACGAGCTCGGGCGGCACATCCCACTCCTTAATGCAGTGTGCGAGACGAAGGCGTGCTCGATTGCACTGTTCTTCCCAGTCTGCGGGAAGCTTCTGAGCAGCATGGGTAGCATGTCGAGGCGACCAGGTAAGCTCATTGTGTAGATAGCTTCGCAAGAACTTGTCTGAAGCACGGAACTTGGAGCCGTCAGCGAATGTTTTCTCGAAGATTTCGGGTGCCATATGAAGAATGGTCGCCACTACAACACCACGGGCAGAGACGAGACTGATGGGTGCACCATCCTTGCGAAGGCCAACCAAGCGCTTGTTGATTGCAGCGACAACATCGGGGTACGAAGCCTAGCAACGAAGTCAGTGATGGTCGAAAGCTCACTGGTCTGCGTGACCTACGAGAATCCCGCGCCGCCCGCCCTTGTTCCCCTCGGCCTGATGATTCCCATGCCGGTTCATCTCCAGACAGCTGTCAGTCCATCTGGGCGCAAGAGGGTTCGATTTGTCAATCCAACCCTGAATTGTTGTGCGCGAGATGCAGCCAAAGAGCTCAGGATCACGCCGCGCAAGCTCTCTCTGAATGGCTGTCTCACTCCAGCCGACCTTGCGACGCGCCTGATCGATTTGGCGCCAAAGAAAGGGTGAGTGCCAGTTGACGTACACAGCACCTTTCCTCTCGTTCTTGCGCTTTCGACCCGCATTTGATCTTCTTTTGTCTTTCAAGCGTTGACAAGTGCGACGTTCCGGCCGAGAAAGCTCTGCGACATCTGCCTTCATGCGCTTTGCGGGCCGTGTCTCATCGCGAAGATCATCAACTGTCATAGAGGCCTGGAAGAGGTCATCAGAATCACTGCGTACGTGTGAATGGATTGCATCACCTCGTGGGGTTTGCGCTTCTTGCCCGTCGTCGCATCGCGTTTTCCCTCCGCGATCTCTCCTTGCTTCTTACGCTCACGACACCTCCTCACTCGCTCGCGGGTGGCCCTGCGCTCCCGATCTCTCTTCTCCTCTGTAATAGCAGCGGCTCGCGCTGCTAGAGCTGCTCGATCCTCACGGACTCGTTCATCAATGCGTGCTCGTTGATCTGCGATCTCTTCTGCTGTCGCGGGGTGGAAGCCAAATGCGAAGAGGCCTTTCGCTGTCCCGTTGGATTTTTTCGGCGCTTTTGCAGAGGCTGGAAGTCGAAATGGAATCTGCGGGGGTGCCGAAGGGGAAGGCTGAGCTGCAGGTTCGGGGTGCTGCACGTCGGGCGAAGGGATGCTAGTCATGATGTAAGCACAGTTTTTCTCGATCTCGTATAAATTCTGCACAAACCGTGAGGGCTCAATGTCTATTCCTTGACCAGATCCAGCATCGGGCATGCTCTCGTTGCTGAGCTCTGACAGGTAGCCATCATCGTCAACACACATTCCTTCGGCCTCCTGGGTTCCACCCTCGTCATCATCATCTAACTCATCAACTTCGTCATCATCCCATCCGTCTACATCAAGATCTGTCTCGCCATCGACTGTGACAACTGGAGGAAGTGTAGGAGAAGTAGGGATGGGTGAAGATGGGATCTCGTCGGGAGGGTGAATGGGAACAGAGCACGTAAAAGTAAATTCAAAGCCCGGTGCAAGCTCGCTGCTCTCCGTCATGTCGTAGTCGAAGGCCTGGTGCACCGTCAGATTTCTCCCTGCGAGATTGGTGAAAGGGCTTACATTTGTTGCATGCCGATTGAGGATTTGCCCGAGGACTTGAAGTCGTGCTTTGTACATGTTCTGTGCGTCCATGAGCTGATAGCGCGGAGACGAGGGAAGACACCAGTGTCCGACAGCGTTAAAGGCGAGCAATCCGCAGCTATGCCCGTCTCGCTGTCGGACAGTCTCCAGTGCAGCAATCTCGAACGACGTGTCAGAATGCTGTGCTGTCCACCAGACCAACGCGTTCTGGAGCAGCTCGGGCATGTCGTGATTCATCGAGTCGCCGTACAGGATCTTCTTCGATGCGAAATCAACCACCACTCCAACCCAATGGTTTCCTCCGACGTTTGCGAGCATGCAGACGGCCTTTCGGGCACCAGAAGAGAGAGATTCGCCCAGGCCGCGTTGGCGTTGGACATAGCGAGATGAGCCGTATGGTACTAAAGATATTTAGCACATTCATAACGACAGGGCGGATCAGTGCCACTCACTGATGTCCGCCGTCTTGTACGCCGTGGTGAGCTTCGTCAAGAAGTCCATGTTTTCGACTTCAATTTCCCCTCGTTTGTCACTTGCCAGGACATCATCACGTAGGAGGTCGAGCAGGAGGTTCTCTTGTGATGTCGACAGCCAACGTGTCGGCTCGCCGAAGGCGCTAACGACGTGCAGTGGGTGGGTATCGTCACTGAAGCCACAGAGTCTGTCCGACCATCGGACCGTATCCAGGAGATTGAATGTGTCCTCGGCGACGTCATAGAGCTGTAACCGAGTCGGGTCCTTCGCCCAGACTTTGCGTGCACTCTCCAGTTTGCGGATTGTTCGTGCCCATGCCGTACATGCGGGTTGCATCTCTGCGATGGCCTTCCAGTACAGGGGTAACCACATTGGAAAGTGCCGAGAGACAGTTGTATTGAGGTGAACAGGCTGAACTGACTTGTAACCAGCACGGGCCATTGCTGGCAGCATATGAACGAGCTCGTCGACGACCTCTACATTGGGTGTAGGTGTCCTCATGAGCACATCGGGGGAAAGCTCGGTCGGTTCGCATCGGGAAACCACCCCCCTATTCGGCCGGCCTCAGCCGATTTTCAGCCGCGGCGCGGCCTCAGAAGCCCTCAACCGGCCTAATCCGCGGCTCACCGCTCACTGAGATTTCGGCGGTGGCTTGGGCGCCATTCAAAGACCCTCGGTATGGGTATATACGAATATATCGATGTTTTCTATAATAGCAGCTTAGTATGTGAGCTCTCGAGGCTCATGGCGGCCCTTCAGGTACTAACTGGAATCAGTAAAATCATTGCTGATATAGTCAACAGTATGTACTCTAAATACACAAGTAATGCATAGTCCAATAGACAGTAGACACGAGTGGGTACAAGTGAAAGACTAGGAGGTCCAGACAAGATGTAAAGCGAGTGAAGGCCGCCCTGGCCGAGAGGCGAGGTTGCTACCGTCGGGGACTGGATGACGAGCGCGGGATACGGCCCGGGGTATGAGAAATCGCTGGCGACGCGGGCGGTGAAGTCGGCCAAGACGTCCTTGTCCACGTTGAGTTGCCACTGTAGGTAGGAGCACGTCTCAACATGCCCCTGGGCGACGATGCACCAGGACTTATTGGAGTACGTGTCGTCGCAGATAATCTTGCTGGCCAACATGAAAGCGGAAATGAAAAGGCGGTGCCCTGATGAACCCTTGGCGGCGGAGAAGCGCGCCTTGAGGCGCTGTAGCAGGAAGAGCGACGCATACGTGACGCTTTCGGGTAAGCACGTCCGATGGAGGGCGTAGGCGATGAAGTGGTCCAAGCGCGCGGGTGCTTGCTGTCCGGCAGCTGGGGCCGGCTGGTCGGGGCAGGCGAACAAATGCGAGACGAAGCGGGCGGCCAGACGTGCCATCCGTTCATGGCCGTGGAATGGGTCCTGACCGGTCTAATAAAGAGCGTAAGAATGATTTAGGATATTCAAAGTTCGGAACTACGTACCGGGTTCGAGCGTGAGGTTGTAGCCTGCTTATTATGCGTGGGCTGCGACGTTCGCGAGGGAACTGGACCGGCTACGGATGCCATTCGACGGGGCTGAAGGTGGTCGGGTAGACACGGTGGCGAGGATGAGGAGAAGGGACGGGGAGTCGCAAGCGCGCGGGCTGGGGCGGAGTGCGAAGTCGGTACAGAGAACTAAGTGAATGTATCAGTAAAAGGTGTCATACCGAGGTAGTCAATATGACATACCTTGAAGTTATCGTGAACGAACGTACCGGTGGCGTTCAGCTTACCGTGAAATCAGCGACCCTCTCGCACCAAGGGTCATTCGTGCAATGAAGATCATTCATATAGTACATCGTATAGACTCACAAAAGATACAGCAGCAGTATACAGCAAGAGAGAAAAAAGACATCAAGAAAGGCAACGAGATCAGCAGGAAGTCCGAGCACAACCGAACGGGCGCGCATGCTTAGTCCGAGAACCCTTCGTTGTCAACGGGCTCGTCGGAAAGGTGGCCGTCGTAGTTCTCCCAGAACGGGTCGGGCTCGTATTCGAACCGGACATCCATCCCTGTATCCGTCGGCGCAGGATCGCCCAGATGCGGATGAGGGGCGGGGGCCACAGCATCCGTCGGCGCAGGATCGCCCAGATGCGGATGAGGGGCGGGAGCCACAGCACCCAATGAGGCAGACAACGCCGCCGCCGCCTCAGCATCTTCTTCGCGCCGTTCGCGGGGCTCGGGGGGAGGGCGGCACTCCTTGCACTTGTACTGGTCGAGGTTGTGCTCGGGGAGTGTGACGCGCTCGACGGGCCACTGCCGAGCACCAAACGAAGTCAGGATGTAGCGCAGGTGGAGTTGCTCTTGAATAGTAAAGAACTCGGCGTCGGAGACCGAGCCGAAAGGTTCACCGCCCTCGGGCATGAGATCCTTCAAGTCCTGGACCGTGTACCAGTCCAACTCCCGCTCCATGTACTGGTCCACGAAGTGCGCGTGATCGGCGCCAATAAGGAGCTGCGCCAGATGTCCGAGCTCGTCTGGCAACTCGAAGGTGTCCTCGCCGCCGGCTGGCCACCCGGTCTTATCGACCACTTGATGGTGGAGGACGGCCTGCATGATGAGCTTGGCGGTCGGGCGCTGCCGATCTTTCTCGTCCGAGAAGATGGGCGTGCGGCGCCAGCCTTTGCCTTTCGCTGACGCGGGGACCCCCTCCCTTGCAAGCACCTGCGTGTTCAGGTCCGCCAGCCAGAACATAAGTGATAGTTGCTCGAACCAAACCAAGATGTTGTGTACGAGTTCCGGGTCCTCGATGAGGCGCTCCTTCGTTGCTGGGTGGCCGCACGTCAGGTCGCCTCGGAGAAAGTTCCAGCGCTCCTGTCCTGGAGCGAGGCACGAGATGATCTCGTCGGTTAGCCGCTGCCCGAAGAACTTCAGGCTGCCGTACTTGTCGTACTCCTCGTGGATGTACGGCTCGAGCGGGATCTTCTCGTCCTTCAGCTGCGCGCGCGTCTCCGCCTCCTTCGCCTCATCCCAGTCCTCCTTGGTCCTCAAATCCGCCAGCTTCTCCTCGATGTACTTCTTCCGATGGTAATCGTTCCACACGCCCTTCCAGTGCGTGATCGTGAGGATGTCGCGCCACTCGGTGGGGCTGAGCGGCTGAACGTCGTCGGCGTGGCGTGTCCAATAGAGCCGCTCGAACATGACCGGTAGAAGGGTCACGGCGTTGCAGACCAACTCGACGGTATTCCCCCACTTGGTCGGGTTGGTGAACACCGACAATGGCGGCACCCACGTCTTGAGGACAAGCTCGCTGCGCTGGAACTCGAGCAAGGCGTCCAGTTGCTCGCGCGGGATCTTGGGCGCGATCTTGTAGAAGTTCGGGTTACTGGTGTCGATGATAGGGTGGCGGAGCGGACGTGTGAGGAAATCGATGTGCTTCATGGCACCGTCGAGTGCCACCAAGTACTTGCCCTCGATAGGGGGCGCCCAAGTCGGTCGTGGCTTGACTTTGTTGGCGAAGTAACGGTGCGCGGCTGGCGAACGCACGGCCATCTTCTGATACCGCTCGAGCGAGGACCCGAGGTCTCCGAAGATATTCTTGAGGTTCTCGAGCTTTCGCGCTTGAGCCTCGCGAATCTCTTCTTGTCCTAGCAATGCGAAGTCGGGTAAGCATACGTCTATCAGATGCGCGGTAAGTAAACATACTTTTTAACGCCCCATCCAATTTCTTCTTCTTCTTCGCCGCCTCCTGCCCCAGCTCGAAAGAGTCTTCGTCCGGTCGCGGGACATATCCGCGCCCGATGGGCTCGATCATCGCCCAGGGACAATGAGGAGGCGGGGGGTACCAGCGCAGAGGCAGCGACCTCTGCTTGAAGTCGTCTAGAGCGCATAAGGTTAGCGTAGGTCTAGGTATAAGAGAATTTCATAACTTACTCAGGATCGGGCACGCAGAGACGTCGCAGCGAGGAGAATCGGGAGGGCCAAGCTTCCC